GCAACAATAATGTACAGTATGTGGAAAATAATGTTTGTTTTTTTTTTACCTTAAACCGCGTAAACACATTGCATTACACCAAATACACAACATCATGTTCTTTTTAGCAACATCATAAGACCCCTTTAAATCTACTGTGTTGTCTTTTAAAGTAAAATTATTAATATTCTATATGGAGAGCCAGCTTTTCAATTAAATATATATATATATATATTTTTTTTTTTTTTTATAACTCGCCTTTAAACTTGAATTTAAAATAATTTTAATCTAACCCATTAACAATTTTTTTTTTATAATTATTCTATTATAATAATTTTTTATCTCATGACTAGCTGGTTATTGTGATCTTATTTTATTATAAATTATTGTATTCCTCTCCTTGTGGGAATCCATTTCCCTAAATTAGAGAATTGGAGGTAGGAGTTTAATTTAGATTAATTTATTAAATCAATTGCCATTACTTTAACCACTTAAAACTACTGTATTGTTTTTAAAGTAAATCTTTCAATATTCTGTTTGGAGAACAAGCTTTTCAATTAAACATTTATAAACTTTTTTAAATCACTCACCTATGAACTTGAATTTGAAACTTTAAATGAGTTTTAAAATAATTTTCCTAATATAATACATTTTTATCTCATGACTAGCACGTTATTGTGATCATATTTTGTGATAAAATGTGTGCACTATGTCAGAATGAACTTTTTTCTTATTGTTTGTGAATTATAGGAGCTGTGTGGGCCATATGTCTTCATTATATTCATGATCTTCCTCATCATCTTCTTCGTCTTTACATACTTCAAAGTTCCGGAGACTAAAGGGCGAACTTTTGATGACATCGCCCGTGGTTTTGGCGGGGCTCCGCCTCCGACTGCCACCTCCGTGGAGGAGCCCGGCAGAGTCGCACTTCCAGCCTCTCCGGTCAAAGAAAAGGTCCCATTGGTGGAAGCTTCCAAATCTTCCTTGGAACAGGGTGCAAGCTCATCTGAGAAAGCTGCGGCAGATGCTAAAAAACCTAGCTCAGTTACCCAGCCACTGGTGGATTCTAGTAAAGAGGAGAAATCTAATTCCACCATCTAAGAAATGGTGTAACTCTATAGCTTAATATGATTAAAGACATGACGTACTACTGAAGATAGAAATATAATACTAGAGATTTATTTACTGGAAAAAGATTATTTAGGGTAAACAGATTAAGAAGGTAACCACAGGGGAAAGTCACAGATCACCTAGTTATATTTTGAAAGGATACGAGAGCTCATAGTCCATGAGCTTTATTTTATTGTGTAGTTTGACAACTGATGGTTTGGTGCAATATTGATTCATGTTTTAAAGATTTTATCTATTTATTGCTCATTTACTCCTGTTTGTGCATTTTAGTGCAGTTTTAATGTGAATTATCAAACAGGACATTGTTTCCTATGTCAGATCAAACAGAAAAAGGGAATTTTCTAAAAAAAAAACTCAATTTTTTGCTTTTAGAAAAACCAAAGTGTTTTTCCCTTGAGTGATAGTTGGCGATCTTCATAATCTTGAGGATGTTCATTTTGTATAAAATATAGTGTGCATAGAGATATATACGTTTTCATTACTTCAGATCACTACTACCATTTATCAAAAACACTTAAAACATATATTTAATTAGAAGATTCATAAAAAATATTTAGATTACAGAAAGTGCTTAGCTAGTAAAGCTTATGCCAAGAATAGTTTACTGCCAAAAATAATACATCTAAAGAAACTAAAATCACCAAAAATGACCAACCAGTGTTCGATGAATTGTACTGTATATAATGTATACGGTCTCCATAACTAGACAAGTTCACATTTCAGATATCCAAGATAAAGATTTTTAGCAAATGACGTGATCAAGATTATGAGCATTAATCCCGCTACTGAATTTCCTGTGCTTGGTGATTTAGTATTCCAGCGTCACGTGTGTGCTGCACTGACTCACTTTGAGGTTTGACAGAGTAGTGAGAGAAGTCTCACTTGATTTGAATAAATGTGTTTATAATAAATGTTGTTCTGCCGTTTCCGACACTTAGTTTGAATCCCTTTCATAGAGAACACATATAGTATTTATTTGTTTATACATTTATTTTTTACTTAAATTAGAGAATCTACCAATAATTCCTATCACGTAAGGCAATTGACGCTTTATGCTGCCATTGCTTAGGTATTGCTATTTTTGTCTAGATATTGAATGTGAAAGTATTTATTAATAAGCACATTTATAGGCCAGGTGTAATCTGAACAACTGCTTTTTCCCATTCTGATGTCTTGTGATCATTTATATGTTGCACGGAGAGAAACTCCAAAAAAGACCAAGAAAGACAACATTCCTCTTGCAGTAGTGCACTGTGGTTTGTATCCCAGTGGTCAAGAGCAGCGTCACAATGAGCCAGCCCTCTTCTAACACTAACAAACACAACCATCTTATTAACTGTTTATACCTTTCACATACTGTACCTTTACTGTGCATAATGTACACAACTCATAGTTACTTGCTTACTGTACAGTTAGAAGAGCATCACCCTGTAAATAACTAAGTTAATGTGTGTTGAATGGTGTAATTGATGTAATTGCAGTTCAAAAGGAGAGTGTCTGCTAAACAGAAGTGTTGATGTTTTGACATTTGTATATTTTATGGTGGTTTTTCCTGAATGTGTAACAAAATCATGAGTGGCACTGTGTACAATTGTATTATTTTGAGAATAAATAGTCTAAATCATTTTATTTCTCCTGTTTCCTAAATGTTAATAGGATACATCAGATTCAAAAGTATACAATAACTTGTGGTATTTTGGAGTAACCTAGTTATCACAAAAATATATTCATAAAGTCATAAAGATAACTGTTTTTACTGTACATATAAATAAATAATGTGAATTTGTTAATTAATTAATGAATATTTATAGGTCTTTCAGATAACAATTAGTTTTTTTTCTTTTATTTAATTTATTTATTTTTACAGAAAAGTATTTTTAATCACTGGACTGAAATTCAAATAACGCAACGTCATTTGCCTCTGTTTGCGTCCTATCGCGTAAATAACCAATCATAGTTAACAGTGACCTTTGAAGCCAATCAGATTTTAGCATCACACTTATGCGTCATCAAGCGTGCTTCTGGTTAACAACAGGTGAAGAGAAACTTTCATATTTAGACTAAATACAGATGAAATTCAGATTATTTAAGGATTATTGTAAAACCTACGGCAGTTTTCCTCACGGACCAACCGCAGACTTAAAGATGTAAGTGAAAAAACAAATATTTAAACGTAGGCATAATTTTGGTTAGGTGACCATTATTTACAACTGCACTAGTGATGACTAAACTGAAAAAAGTGAGTTTACATTAATAAATAGTATATTTTAAATACGTACGTTGTTATACGTTAATAAACTCTCTAGTTACCAATAAATATGCCAGTAATATAATTTGAAGTCTTATTTGAATTAGAGGAGTACCAATGAACATAATATGTTATTTTCCAACCTAAATAAATATAATGATAAATTAAATCACACTACCTGTACTATTGCTAGACACGGTTTGTTTGTGTGTGTTTTATACATGTTTACATTGTAGCTTTGGTCTTCGCTACATTTTCCTGCATATATGTGTACGATAATCTTTCGCTGTTACATATTTTACGTAACATCCCCTCTTTCTCATTTGTGTTACAATTGAGCTTTTAGCCTTTATCCGCGGTCTTCGGTCACTTTTGACCGGAGAATTTTACATTTTGAATTTTTAAAAATCGTAGCTTCACCAGAATGGTACGAAACCTGGTGACTTTTATGACACTTGGTATGTGAACACAAAAAAAATTGAGGGCAAGATTCGAAAAAGCTAAGTGGTCGTAAAAAAAAATAGTCACACTCGTGAAAATACAGAAAATGTTTCTGTGTACAATCTACAAATCCCCCACAATGCAGAAAAAAATTGCACAGCAATGAAGGGGTGAAACTCTAAAACATCTAGAGTGCAAAATCAACACACCAACTCACACGCGCGGACACACACTTGTACACACACACACACA